GTTCTTCACAACAACCTAGTAAAACCGGTAGCCTTAGGATTATCACCCCAGTTTTCCTGATAAGGAAATGGTGGCTCAGTGGCTGGGTGCATTGAAGATACTTACCTAAAGTCTTAAAGTCAGTAATTTAAGGGAAAATAGAGTTGAGATTCAACTCTAAATTTTAAATTCCAGTTCTACATTTTGTTGTTTTATTTTTATTTTGTTTTTGTTCTATTAGACAACCAATCAGATTTTGTTAAAGGGAGGAGTGAAAGTTCTTTAGAATAACTAGGAAACTGAATGATGTTGTGTAAGCTACTGTCAAAAAATTTCTGCAACATCATTTATCCAATGTTTAGGTTATTCGGTTTTTCTTTTGATTTTATATTCATTATTTGTATAGAGACAAAAATAAAGTATTCTGTATTTCTGGGAATATATAGGCTTAGGTAAAATTAAACTTAATTTTGTGTGTGTGTATATGATTTGGGTGAAAATTTACAGAGCAAATTCACTTTCCATACAGCAGTTCACATACACTTTGTTTCATGACATTGACTACAATTTCCCACAATGCAACAGCTCCCCTTCCACTTCCTCCTGACAGTCACCTCTTCCTGTATCCATCCCTCCATGCGCTTCTACCCCCTGAGCTGTCTCCCTGTCCATAAACTGCCCTTCTTTCTCCCATGACTGTTCTTGCCAAGGAGTGTATCTACCTCAGGTAAATGTTCAACTCATATGCCTGTCTTTTGTTTGGCTGGAAGCCACAGGAGTGGGTTAAATTCCAGACCTAAAGGCAGCTAGAGGCCATAGTCTCAGTGGTTCCACCAGTCTCTATCAGACCAGCAAAGCTGGTCTCCCTCCCTTTTTTTTTTTCCCCAAATGACTTTGAGTTTTGTTCTGCATTGTTCTGCCTTTCTATCCAGGATCTCCTACATAGATCCCCCTCTGAGTGGTTGACATTGGTAGCCAGGCACCATCTAATTCTTCTGGTCTCATAGTCGTATAGGCTGCGGATCACATGGTGTACTAATTGCTAGGACTAATTGTTTCCATGAATCTTTGGTTTTCTTCACTCATCTTTGCTCTGAACAAGGAGGGACCCATCATTGCATCTAGATGGCTGCTTGCAAGCTTTTAAGATCCCAGTCGTTACTCGCCAAAGTAGGAGGTGGAACAATGTTTTGTGTAGTATGTGATGCCAGTTGAGCTTGATGTCCCCTGTGACTATGGTCCTGAGCCCACAGGTTCAACTACTCACTCCCTCTGGGTAGCTGGCTGTGACCAAGAAGTGACTACAACCTTGTCCCTTGTCAGCTCTACTAAACACCTGGGAATTCAGATCATACAAAGACACTTATAGGACCATTGTTTGCCAACCCTATACATGATCTTGGGTACACTCCGCAGTTCATAGACATACCTAGTAGTTTAGCCTGTCCACCCATCTATCCACCAGTATACCCATGTTTGCCTTCACTGACAACGCAGTGCTATATGTGCAGAAGGGTTCATCTTTGTTGTCTGTACCTCCCATGTACCTCTCTATGCCTTCCTCTTCCTCATTGCCACCATGTTGATCACTCACATTTGGTACATTGCCCTTCTCTTCACCCAAATCAATACTTATCTCTACCTATCTAACACTGTTCTGTACCCTCCTCCCTCTCACCCCTGGTAACCAACAAAGAAAATTTACTTCCATAGATAAACCTTTTCTTGACTTTTACAATAACGGACTAATACAATATTTGTCCTTCTGTGATTGACTTATTTCACTCTGCATAATGTCCTCCAAGTTCATCCAGGTTATGTGGTGTTTTGCAGATTCTAAGTTATTCTTTAGGGTTGCATAGTATTCCATTGTGTGTATGTACCATAGTTTGGATATGCATTCCTCAGTTGATGGACACCTAGGTTGTTTCCATCTTTTGGCTATTATAAATAGTGCTGTGATGAACATGGGCATGCATATATCTGTTCTTGTCATAGCTCTCACTTCTTTAGGGTATATACCTAGTAATGGAATGGCTGGGTCAAATGGTATTTCTAATTTCAACTTTTTAAGGAATCGTCATACTGCTTTGCACAGTGGTTGTACCATTTTACAGTCCCACCAGCAGCGTATGAGAGTCCCAATCTCTCCACATCCTTGCCAGCATTTGTTATTTTCTGTCTTGTTGAACTTTGCTATTACTGCTGGAGCAAGATGATATCTCCTTGTTGTTTTGATTTGCATCCTTCTAATGGCTAATGATAGTGAGCATTTCTTCATATGTTTGTTCACTGCCTGAATATCCTCATTGGTGAAGTGTCTATTCACGTCTTCTGCCCATTTTTTAATTGGATTATTTGTCTTTTTGTTATTGAGGTGTTAGAGTTTTCTATACATTCCAGAGATACGTCCCTC